TCAATGGCTGAAATACTAAACTTTTTACTGCGCCTATGAGAGATCCCTTAGTTTGCTGAATTTTTTTTCGAATATTAAAACACGCTTTATATACCTAAAAATACCCCCCAAAATCTAAAATCAGTGTTAAAAATTTTTTTCGGCCAATTTTGAAATTTCCTTGCGACGACACTCGCGGTGGTGATTTGCATTGGTTTGGTTGTTTTCGGTCAATTTTGGGTGACTTCGGCCGGTTTTATACTCATCTCTGTGAGAAAACATGTTAAGGGGTCTCGATTGGCCAAAAAAACTCAAAACTTAAAAACCTACCATTGGCATAATTTTTCGGTGTCGCAGCTCTGCCGATTCACCTTCACGGTAGGGCATTTTTTTTCGATCAACTTGTAAAAAACAGAACGGTGAACACAATTGTGAATAAATCTCATGAAATGAAAAATGCGAATGGGCTCATCGGAGGTGATTTCAGGCTTTATCCGCAGTTTTTGGCTCATTCACCATTCTTTTTTATTCAATTTCGCCATGGGATTGCTTGGAATTAAATTTCAAGCGGATAGAAGAATTTTTACCTTTTTTAGCAATCGAATGTGGCTCCAACGCGGCGGTGGATGGCAGTTGGCTCCCTTCTCTGGCTTTTTTGATGGTCAGAGGTGGCTCCGGCACGGCGGCGGGCGGCGGTCGGCTCTCTTCTCCGGTGACTAGTTCTTCTTCTTCGCCAGGAGGCTGACGACTAGGGTTTGGATTCGATGTGATGCGAGATATTTATACTCGTATCGCTTAAATCTGGGTCATTCATCACGTTAGATCTCGACTGTTCGATCGCGTTTAAAGAAGAAATAAATTTGAATTGTTCATCACAATTTGATATCAACCATCCAAACGCGTTTAAAGAGAAACAAATATGCAACGTTCATCGCGTTTAATCACGACCGTCTGATCATTCCTGAAGAGGGAACAAATCTAGACCATCCACGCGCGCGGGAACGCTTCCAGACCATCCACACGCGCGGATCGCGGGCACGCGGATTGCATACGTGGACTCCTGCGTGGCACCGAGTCAACGTGCCTTGCCACGCGACGCACTCTAGTTTGTCGGGGCTGCTGATTAATGATCCTACGTTGTGCAATTTTCTTTAATTGTGTTTTGAGTCCCAGTTTCTGATTTTTCTTTCAAAAACATCATCCGAACCCAAATTTTCATCATTTTTTTTAAAATTATTTTCAATTTCATACTCAACTTATTTTTTTTTATAATTTTATATTAAATAAAAATTTATTAATTTCAAAATTATATTTTTATACATTTTTTTTAAAATTTAAAATTATTCTCGGATTAATTTCCAGACTCGAGTATTACAATAAATAACACTTTGACCTTTATCCATAAAAATTCATATTTTATTCGACATATTAAAGCTTAAAATATATTTAACTATATCAAATCATTTTTAAACATATTTAATTAATTTAATAGTCTTTTATGGACAATAATATACACATATAAATTTATATGATAAATTAAGATTCAACATATATATAATAAAATCAATATATGTTCATATGTGAACTATAATTCAATGCAAATATATAAAAATGAAATGCATATTTATCATTTCAAAACAATATGTTTATGTACTTGAAACAAGTAAACAACATTACAACTCACACAACACCTACACAACTAAAATTTTTACCGTACCTCCCATTTCCATCTTCCTTTCTCCTGCCGATATCACCGTCATCATCCGCGGTCTTCTTCTCTCTCCCTTCTCGCTCCTCTCCTTTCTGACTCCCCTCTTTCTCTTTCTGGAACGAACCTTCTTTCGTCTCTTCTTTCCCCTTTCCCGCTCTCTTCCTTCTCTGCTTTTCTCTTTTCTTTTTCTTTTTTATTTTCTTCTCTTCCCCTTTTCTTTTTTATTTTCTTCTCTTCCCCTTTTCTTTCCTTTCCCAACCCCTATTTATATCCCACCAGCTTACTCAAAACGACGTCGTTTTTTCCTCTTTAAAACGACATCGTTTCTTCCATTTTTTTTTTTCCAGTTACTACATTATGACAAAGAGATAATTCGGTTTTGTGTCACTTGAAGCCAAAAAAAAAGGTATGAATAAATTTTTTTAAAAAATATATATTTTGTAATTTTCAATATGAATAATGATATAAATTATAAATCAGCTACTTTTTTACTCAAAAAAAATTCATTTATAAGTATATTATATATGCCATAAAATTTATAATAAATAATAATAGAAAAAAAAATTAATTGAATATGTCCGTAATAAGATGAATAAAAAATGAATTTTAAATAACTAAAATAAATAAATTGGACGTCAAATGAATTTTGCAATTTTAGGACAGAAGAACTGTCACGACTCTTTCTAAGTCAAATAACGGCATCAGTTCAATGAGGATGACGTCACTTTTGATGATGTCATCGAGTCTAAGAATGTCACCTATGTAATAAGCTAATGGGTCTGGTTTCAGATGGAATAATAATTGAAATAATGTTTTAATATTTTTGGCCCATTTTTTACTTTTCTCCTCCACCGGCCTGCCACCAGATAATACCTTTAGTTCATCTCTCAAAATTAAATATATGTAGCTAGTGGGTGGGTTGTAAATGCAAATTAAATGTACGTATAAAAATCAATTTTTAATTTCGTTATCCCTATTAAGTTGCCAATTACCAGAAGAATTTCTTTTAACCGTAAACAACTTGTATTTAAATAGTATTAAATATCTTTTAGTAATGGCATACCTATATCATATCATATACCAATATTCTGATTTATTTTATCTTTTAATAGTATTTTTATTCTATAAATTTTAATTTTTACAATATATTCCTTTTTAATAATTAAAGTATAATATCTGGGTCCGAATTTAGTTCGAGATAATTTTTTCTTATTTATAAAATATATATAAAATTAAAAATATTATTTTAATTTAATATTTAAGAAAAATAGATTATTGACAAAATTAAAAGTAATTTTAAAGAAAATATGTGAAATTTTAAATTCAGTACCTATTTATAAAAGAAAAATTAGAAATATATGGTCAAAATGCAAACAAAAAAAAAATT